CCCTGTTCTATTTCGAACAACTCCGTCAAACTCAGCGCGCGAAATCTAATAGCAGAAAACTGAGTTGATGTCTGCTTTATAAAGACTCCTTGTTTTACACGTGAAACTGAATTTGTGACATTGCATGCACTTTCAAGTTGATTAAGGACGTTCTGTTATTTTTCCAGTTGTTTATAACCTATCATTATTGTTTATGTCCGTGTTTGCGTGCTTATTTTTCTACTTGTACCGAAAATCCCTTTATAAGTTGCGCCCTCCCTCGTGAGTCCCCGTGAGGTTTTATTTCCCATTTCGTTTTTTTCCCGAGATTGTATGCAGCTGTGATGCATGCAGCAAATACCGTGGAAAACCTGTTACCGATAAACGTACTCTGTTTCACATATCGGCTGTTAGTCAGCAACCGGGTACTCTTGTCCACCTATAGTGTTATGCGGCCAATGCCTCGTCTGTATTCAACGAAAACATTTTGCTCTCAATGAAACTACCTCTGTCCCCTCCTAAAATAATTCTACTCTGCGGATGCACCGTTCAACAAATATAGCTTAACCAAATATAGCTTAACCAACCCAAGCTCACGTCACTCCTTTCCTAGCACAAGAGCTACCTACCATTCAAATTTCATCACCCTAGCATGTCTATATCACGAGATATCAAAACCGGAAGATCAGCTGCAGTTCCGTCATGGTAACAAGCCGCTAGGGGGTCCAAAATCTCATCATTTCCAGGTCTCTCTACCCACCTATCGTGTTTACAGACATGCACACAAACACACACATACACGAACGCCTCTGAAACATAACCTTCTTAGCGAAGGTAATTATCTAGATGTGGGGATTCATATGTCTGAAGAGCTACGTAGGATCTTATGCGTTTTTAGGAAAAGCCTGTCCAGAGCTGCCGATTCTAAACAACGGCAATAGGACCGAGGGTCATCTTTACGGAGACACAGTCACCTTTTCCTGTAACGAAGGCTACGAACTGATCGGTTCTGAAAGCAGAACTTGCCAGGCTGACCAGACTTGGTCGGGTGTACAGCCCAATTGCAATAGTAAGTGATAATTTTTGACAGTGTCGGGTCATACGAGGGGTGATCAAAAAGTTCTCGGCCTCACCGAGAAAACGTCAGGGCAGTAAAATTTTTCTTACACTACTTTTTAATATAGTCCTCTCTAACTGCAATGCACTTGGTCCAGTGATGTTCCAGTTTTGTTTTCCCCTTGTGGAAGAAGGTTACATCTGGAGCCCCCAGATAGGCCTATACCGCATAGATGACGTCATCATTACCATCAAAACGTTGACCACGTAAGTGGAACTTGAGTTTAGGAAACAGGTAGAAGTCCAAGGGTGCTAGGTCAGGTGATTTGGAAGGGTGGGGTTAGACTGCAAACCCAAATTCGTTTGCTGCTGTCACTGACCCCTGTGCTGTGTGAACAGGTGCATTGTCAGCAGGCCAGCTCGGAACTTTCCTCTCCTTTTCTCTTTGATCGTTGCCCTCAAATGTAGTAATTCTGTTGAATAGTATTCCCCATTGATGCTTTAACCCCTTCGCAGGTAGTCAATCATGATTACTACCTTGCTG